AAATATATTTTTTTATCTGCCACCTTTTCAGAAGCTTTCTCACACCATGCCACCTAGCTTGTAAATTGTCTCTATAATAGAGTATTGTTTTGATGTGCAACTCATCTTGCGGAATCATTTCCTTGGGGGTGAAAATGAATTTACAAATATATTTTTTAGCTGATACCCCTTCAGAAGCTTTTTCACACCATGCCACCTAGCCTATAAATTGTCTCTATCACAGAGTATTTTCTTGAGCTACAACTTTACCCCCTACTGAGCGAGGGCCGTGGCAAATGCTTGTTCCGGAAGTCGTTGTATCCAGAATACAACTTCTTCCCGTCCAAGTGATTGCGCACGCGTTAAGGAATACCTCAGTACCGATTGCCGGGTGGCGGTACAAGTCCGCCAACGGGCCACTTTAGGTCTATTTAACATCACTAATACGTAAAAAGAAGGTGGTAGACAAGGACCAGTCGACCGAGGCAGTACCACCCGCTAGCTTTTCCCAGGGTGTCTTATAAATGTCCGCATGTTTCCACACCTAAGCTATGCAGTCGGTTATCTTCCAAAACAAAGAAATTAATGATGATGGATCCCTCGAGCACTAAAAACTCCGGACGTAAACTCACTCCACTCTCGGAATGTCCGGGTGGAGGGTGGGCTCGAGGGAACAACATCGAAGATAAAATTTGTTTTTCCAACATCTGCGGGATCAACAGCAACATTGATGCTGTTCATCACTACCTGCAATCCAATCGTCCCGCCGTGCTTTTCTTGGCGGAGACAAAAATCTCAGAGGCTGCACCGATTAACCATCTCAACTTCCCAAACTACGAGGTGCACTCCAATCTGAGAAAGAACGGGGGAGTTGTGGCTTTTGTCCGCAGCAGTCTTTCCTGCTCCAGGGATCTTTCTTTGGAATCAGACCGGAAGGACATTCTGTGGCTTCGCCTCAACTCCAAAACATCACCCAAATTTATTTGCTGCCTTTATCGCTCTCCCTCGAACCATAACTGGGATGACCTACTCGAATACCTCGCCGTCCAGATCGACTTCCTGAACATCAATCACCCCGCTTCAGAGGTAGTTCTTCTCGGTGATTTCAATGCCCATAATGAGCTTTGGTTGGGCTCAAATAAGACCGATGCAGCAGGTCGTGCAGTCGAAGCGTTCGCTCTTACTCAAGGGCTGACCCAGCTGGTGACGAGCCCTACTTTTTTCCCCCGCGTCTCGTCACACGCCAGTAGCCTGCTGGACCTCTTTCTGACCACGCATCCTGCCCCTTACAGCACTGCCGTCCTGTCCCCCCTGGGTAACTCAGATCACGGTGTTGTGGAGGTTAGGTTTCGGTCAGAAGCCGCTGTGGCCGCAGAAACTCGCACAGGCCGCAAAACTTGGCATTACGGACATGCCGACTGGGAGGGGCTCAGAGACTTCTTCTCTAGCTTTCCTTGGAGAGATGTCTGTTTCACTGACGCGGATGCGTCGACTGTCTGTTCTTCGATAACCGAAATTATCCACGTCGGAATGGAGGAATACATCCCTCACACAGTGAAAGCTCCTAAACCAGGCTCCAACGGCTGGTTCAACAAATCGTGTGACACTGCTCGCCAGCAGAAGATCAAGGCCCACAGAACCTACTTACAAAACCCCACTGTAGAGAACAGACAAGCCGACGTCGAGTCCAGAAACAAATATAACGAAGCGGTCCGCAATGCCAAAACCCAGCATGATATAAAAGTTAGGCACAGGGTAATGTCGCAGCGCAATGGCAGTCGGTCTTTCTGGACGCTGGCCAAGCAGATTGAAAAGAACTTCTCACACAGTAGCCTTCCACCACTTACGTGCCAGGATGGAACTATTGTATTCGACTCAAAGGCCAAGGCGGAAGTGCTAGCCAAGATCTTTGCTGCCAACTCCACCATGGACGTCCCCACCAACGCCCAAGTGCCGTCAATTCAAAGGGTTCCCCACACTATGCGGGAGGTAACATTCAGGCATAAGACCGTAAGACGAGTGCTCTTGTCGCTCGACATCAACAAAGCTTCTGGTCCGGACTTGATTCCTGCCATTGTACTGAAGAGATGTGCAGCTGAGCTTGCTCCAGTTCTTTCGCGTCTCTTCCAGATATCTTATGAATCCGGCACCTTCCCAGAAAACTGGAAATTTGCTCATGTACAGCCCATCCCAAAAAAAGGATCTAAAACCGACCCTTACAACTACAGGCCTATAGCTCTGCTTTCTGTTATAAGTAAAGTAATGGAGAGGTGTATAAATCGCGAGCTTCTGGACTACCTCGAACGTCACAGCTTGATTAGCGACAGGCAGTACGGTTTCCGGCACCAACGATCCACAGGGGACCTCCTAGCTTACGTCACGCAACTGTGGAGTAAACTCATCCAGTCTCATGGTGAGGCTCATGTCGTTGCTCTTGACATCACGAAAGCGTTCGATCAGCTGTGGCACGCTGCCCTCTTGAGCAAACTTCCATCCTACGGCCTCCCAGAAAAGCTTTGCAGATGGGTGGCTGACTTTATCTCTGGCCGCAAGATATCCGTCGTAATTGACGGATTCTCCTCTTCATCCCACAACGTCAACGCGGGTGTTCCCCAGGGATCGGTCTTGGCTCCAACACTGTTTCTCTTACATATCAACGACCTCCTTTCCTGCACGATCAACCCAATCCACAGCTTCGCTGATGACAGCACTCTACATGCAGGAATTCAGAGTGACAAGCCGATCTCTGCCGCTGAGCTGGAAAAAAGAAGACTAGCGACGACTTCTTCTCTGACAAGAGACCTGGAGGCTATCACTGCTTGGGGACGCAACAATCTTGTACAGTTCAATGCTTCCAAAACACAGTACTGTACTTTGACGAACAAAAAGCGTCTTAGCGCTCATACAGTTTCGATGGACGGTCGAGTTCTACCAAAGAGCCATTCATTTCGGTTGGTCGGAGTCCAGATCACCGAGGACCTGATCTGGCACGAACACATCTCTTCAATAGCTGCAGCTGCTGGGAAAAAGCTAGGCTATTTGTTTAGGGCTAAGAAGTACTTTTCTCCGCATGACCTTCTCACTCTATACAAGGCCCAGATAAGGCCTAGCCTCGAGTATTGCTCACACATTTGGGGTGCTGCCGCCCCGACTACATTGTCCATGCTCGATGCTGTCCAGAGGAGGGCGGTCCGACTGATCGATGACTCTTCTCTAACAGACAGTCTCGGGACTCTTTCGCACCGGCGGGCCGTCGGCGATCTAGCTCTTTTCTATCGCTACACCAACGGGCTTTGCTCCTCAGAGCTCTCGTCCATGATGCCGCCGCGCGATGTGCCTGCCAGACAGACCCGCCTGACTTCGGCGTCCCATCCTAACCGTGTCAAACTTCGTACATCCAGAACTGGCCGATACGACCGCTCCTTTATCCCGAGGGTATCTAGATTGTGGAACAAACTACGGGAGGAAGCTTTTCCCAGTTCTACTAACCTTAGGCAGTTCAAAAATCGTATTAACAAAATTTCTTTGGGATCATCATAGCAGCCGCGGTGTTCCGGCATTTAGGCTTCTGCCTGCGTGGCTGTTTCGATATATAAAAAAAAAAAAAAAAAAAAAAATGTTGGGGAATTATTTCCTTGGGGGTGAAAATGAATTCATAAACATATTTTTTTATCTGCCACCCTTTCAGAAGCTTCTTCACGCCCTGCCACGTAGCCTATAAGTTGTCTCTATAATAGGGTATTGTTTTGAGGTGCAACAATTTATAAACATATTTTTTAGCTGCGACCCCTTCAGAAGCTTTCTCACACCATGATACCTAGCCTATAAATTTTCTCTATATTCGAGTATTTTTTTGAGGTACAACTCATTTTGGGGAATCATTTCGTTGGGGGTGGAAATGAATATATAGTTATATGTTTTTATCTGATACCCCTTCAGAAGCTTTCTCACACCATGCCACCTAGCCCATAAATTGTCTCTATAATAAAATATTTTTTTGAGAATTATTTTGGAGAATCATTTCCTTGAGGGTGAAAATGAAGTCTTATTTATATTTTTTTATCTACCACCCCTTTAGAGGTTTTCTCAGTATATGCTATTTATTTCATTAATTACTTTCAATACCATATATAAAATAATCCGTAAGTGGAATTTATCCGAAGAAAGCTTTTTGGGTCAAGTCTTGTTTCAGCGAATTATTTAATTGTGGTGGAAAATGATTCTTCCTATAGGGATACTTATTCTCGTGCATATAAATTTATTGTTGCGACCTGTTGGCTGTGTCCTTCACAATCACAGTCTGTTTGATGATGTCGACGCCACTGGTCATTCGGGTATCTTCGGCAAATTGTCTGCTAAATTTTGTCTACCAGCTTCACACCGGTAATTTACCATAATATGTTAATTTGCCAAAAATTTTCTATTTCTTTTCCTATTTTTAACTGGAACTATTGGCTATTTTCTTATACATGTTTGTATTTATATAATCAAACCAACCACTGTAATACTCCTTCCTCTAACAGTTTTAAATGAGATAAAATCTTGTACACAAATTGAATAAAAACTTGAGAAATGTCGTTAATCATTTTGAAAAAACAAAATAATCAAATCCACAGTGATGTTTCATGTACATTGCAATGTACAAAGACAGAGAGTGTGATTTTTTTATATCGATTATCGATATTTATCGTTTTTCAACATGAATCGATAAATAACCGATTATCGGTTTGCAAGTCCTAGTTCGCAGTTTTCTAAGAGGCTAACTTATGCCAAACATAATCTTTCCTGAACTGATGACAGCGTTGCGTGTCAAGTGCAGAGTCAATATACTTGACGCCATTTTTATTTATCAAAAAGCTCCCAAATCGGCAGAGCAAGTTGAATAACTGGTCGCGTTGTCGTCTCGTTGGTGTGAATGTTTGTATTTGAATACATGTACCGAGTCATGTCACCGTCGGGTTGCGCCAGTTGCTTCCGATGAGAACAGTCCCTACGTTCCGTCATAAATTATCTATTTTCAGGTGGAATGAAGTTCGTCGAGTGGATGGGAATTATACCCGATGATCTGTCAGCGATATTGATGCGCCAACCAGAACATCCATTTTTGGTTAAAAATGCCACACTTGATGACCTTTCTCTATATATGCCCTGTTGGCAGAAGGTAGAAGAAATATTAGGCAAGTACTTCAACAACACTGCGTGACTGCGTTACAAGCTGGTATGTATTTACATGAGAATACATTTTATCAACTGGTTCTTCAATAGATTACACGTTTAAAAACAAAGGATATATTCTACAAACATTTACACATGCCTCATATACGCCAAATCAATTAACACGATCATATGAGCGTCTAGAATTTCTAGGTGATGCTATTCTAGATTTTCTGATAACTTGCTACATATACGAGCAATGCGAGGGTGAGTATACGTATTTTTATTTCATTCATATATTTTGCTCAACAGATACAAGATTCAATTAAGGGAGAAACTATACAAGTAGTGAAAAACAAAAACACACGTCCAAAAAAGTATCCTTGATTGATGACACTAAAAAACTCTATATGTGTATATCGGAAATCCAACACAGAATTGTACAGAACGTGGATAATGAATGAATATCAATGGCTACAAAATAACCTTATTTCTAACATAATATTCTGAGTGTGTGTAAAAGAAGAGATTACAAAAAAATGCTTTGTCAATACATAAAATATTAAACTCAAACAGTAGTATTTTCCCAAGCGGAGATAAGTAATGGTATAAATGAAACCTATCAACACTTTAGAAAGTTGTTGTATACTCCAAAAAGTAAGAAAATAATTCGTAACATTATTAACAAATGCATAAAGAACAAATATGAACGAAAACCAATCGTACAACCAATTCTGTAACCAGTCTCTTCAATAAAGTTTATATTTTGGTGAAAACTACGACGAGATATTTAATTAACGCACACTCGAACTTCCCCAACGATGATTATATAGATTTTGTGGAATACTATATAAGAAAACACGATCGGAGGATCGAAAATCCAACTTAGCCACTGCTGTTAGTGAAGGGACTGACACAAAGACTGAACTTTGTTAAGCCAAAGGGGAAGGATCCCAACTCAAGCATGAAAAGTTGTATGAGGAGCTGACCAAGTATCTCATCCCAGAATTGGTGGTGAAACAAGACTTTCCATCGTCAATTTGGGTATATCTTTAAATGACTTGTTTTGATATCAAATACATCTTACGCCTGGTTTCTTAATCGCAGGTTAACTGTCAAGTTGGCTAAACATAATTTGGAAACTAACTATCACTTGCCAGTAAATTCGTTTCTCATGTTCAGGTTAACTAACTTGTAATTTATGACGCATTGCTTCTGAGTTATCTATTTCTGTGTGTTTCGTAACGCTCTCTGTTTGTGTTACGTGTCATCCGTGGCGACTCGTGTCTCTATCAAGGCAAACATGTTAAATAGTTCGCTGTAACTGTAGTGTTTTTCACGAGTATCCCTTACGCTTTGACGTCTACTGAGGTGAACAGCTGATTGAAATGTCACTTAGATAATTAGCTCGTAGTTACTGTCACGTGATGAGTATTCGTGAAAAAGACTGTACAACATACTAGTCAAAGGACAAACTAGACATTTAAAATCGCGAATTACACTTAACCTGCGATTGAAAAATTGGGCCTTACAAAAATACAGGGTGGCCAATATATAACTGATTTAAATTGCGCGCCATTTTTGATACACGCATTTCAGTAGGTGGCGCCGTAGTAGTTGCTTGAAGCACATGTGTCCAATTCATCATGAAGCGCTACACGATCCTACAATGCGTCCGTATTGTTGAAACGCTTAAACGCTTTACTTAAATAATGAGTCGATTGTTGCAACGATTCGGAAGCTACAACAAGATTTCGGTCGAAATAATGTACCCAGTGTCAACACCATTCGCCAGTTGGTGCTGAAATTTAAACAAACAGGTGAAGTTAAGGACTTGAACTGTTTGTACTCCGGAAAATATCGAGAGAGTTCGTGAAAGTGTAGTGGAGCACCCTGAGACGTCTACCAGACCTGGTTCTCAAGAACTGGACGTTCATCATACGTCATTACGCACTATTTAAAAGAAAAGACTTGCATTTGCGGACATACGAAATTTAGTCAACCCAAGAACTACAGCCTAGTGACCATGAAAGTCGCCGACAAAACAGTCAGGCAATATTGCAGCTTAATACCCAAAATAACGATTTTTACTGACAACTGATAAATAATAAGTGATGAAGCCCACGTATTTGTTAATAAGCAGAATTATCGTATCTGGGCATTAGAAAACCCTCGTGCTATCCATCAACGACGAGTCACAGTTTGGTGTGGTGTCTCTTACTGTCACTGGCGAGCGCTACCGTGATATGGTGCAAAACTTTCTGACTCCTCAAATCCAACAATGTAACCTGCAAAACATGTGGTTGCAGCAGGACGGAGCATATTGTAACACAGCTAGGGAAACCATGAATCTTCTGAAACATATTTCCGGGACGTTTCATTTCTAGATTTGGTGATGTCAACTGGCCAAGGTCACCGGATTTAACGGCTCCTGATTTTTTTATGAAGAATTTTAAAAAATAAGGTTTGCCATCAAACCAAATACTGTAGAGCAGCTGAAGAACAATATTACGGAAGCGATTGAAAATATTCCTCCCGAAACCTACCAAAAAGTGATGGAAAATGTGATCAACAGGGCTCAGGTTTGCGCGGCTTCTAGAGGCAGACATTTGTCTGGTATTATTTTTCATACATAATTTCTAAGTTTCAATAAAAGATTAAGATGGAGAAATGGTCGTATTTTATTTCATTCCACAAATATTCAAGATACAAACCAGTCAGTTACATATCGGCCACCCTGTAGATAAAATAAAAAATTCGGCGGAAAATTCATTTTCCTTCATGCGATTGCTATAGTAATATATTGTATTAGGTATTAGAAGCTCGAGTATTTGTTTTAAAAAATTTTCACAAGATCCATTTAAGATCTTTAAATCTTCCAAAAATTTGGAATTGTATTTGTAGATCTTAATATGTAAAGTGAAATCGTCCATAAGCCCAAAAGTCTTTACATGCACAGTGTACCAGATACAGATATTTAAATCTTGTAAAATGTTGGTCAGTGTTCCAGCATGTCATTCTTTATGAGATAAACTACAAAACCGTGATTATTTCGATTTTCTTTCTTACTAAGTCTGTGAATTGAGAGATGAGACTGGCAACATAGCATCCGATCTGGCAACCGTAAAGGCGCCGGGCTTGGAGGGGAGACAGGGAAACAAGTTTGAACTCGCTAGAGTCGTTTAGTTGTTCGTAGCAATTTTATTTGTGAAAAAGTTTTTTCTATTGTGTTCTAAAAATGAGTGACAATAATTTCAAGCAACGGTGTTAAGGCATTTTCAGAAGGGAGAGAGTCGGTTGAAGATGAACCACGAAGCGGAAGGCCTTCATCTTTAAGATCCGATGAAAATATCGATAGAATCGGGGAGGAGTTAAATTTGACTCGCACCACCATTCAACAATTCAAAAACTCTTCTAAAAGAGTTTTTGGCCAGTAAAAATATTCCTGTGGCTCCTCAGCCTCCTTATTCGCCTGACTTGAGTCCTTACGACTTTTTTCTTTTCCCATTGAAATCAACTCAAGGGAACTCTTTTTGGGACAGCCGAAGCTGAAGGCTATTCCGGTATCGGGGTTCCAGAACTGCTATGAGGAATGGAAGAACAGTCTCCAGCGCTGTGAGGCTTCAGAAGGAAGTTATTTTGAGTTTGACGATATAAAACTGAAATAATATTTGAATAAAAAAATTTAAACTAGTCTAAATACTTAATTTACAGACCTCGTACTTGTACAGACGAAAACAACGTAATATTTCGACTTTTGTTTGTTTAGAAAACATGAAATCTTGTTTAAAAAGCAATGCAATATAGTTTATTGAAGGAAAGCCATACATATACAGAACATGTACTATATCGATCACGTTTGACATCCAAGCTGTGACATCATATGATCCTAATCAGGTTCTTCTTTCTGGCGAGATAGAATAGGTTCTTATCGCTGACTATACCCTATTGTTGCTTGTCCCTCATTCCAATGTGGAAGCTTGATTGAAATATATACTGAAGTGAAGCTGTCTCCTAATGTTTCGAGGCGTCCCAAGTTGACAATATCATTTGCCTTAGCAGTCGTGAGGGCTCTGTACAAGTTCTTTTGGGGGTGAAAATGTAAAATTGTAATTATATTTGAATAAGATTAAAAAAAACAGTGTCATCACTTAATTTACAGACCTCGAAATTCACATGAGTATTTATTGCACTGTTAGAAAAAACCGTATGCCGAGGAATCCACGTGGGATACATGTGAAATGTACTGCATTTATTACTACACTTGATTTCCAGATCCATTCATGCATGCTTCCAACTATCCTCTCCAAAGTACTTTTCTGTTTCCAACTGGAGGATCTGCATCAACAGATAGCTAGAGAATCTGGGTTAGGAGATTTAAGGGTCACAAAAACTGGCAACCTTGAATTAGACATGCACTTGTTGTATTACGAACCTGACGTTGATGCCACTGATGATTCTAGAGAAGGAGTGTCTCTGTTCTTCAAGATGTTTCACTGCTGAAGAAGGGTGCTCCACCTGTTTTGATGGCCTTTAGATGTGACACTGATGGATATTGAATGTTATGAGGGATTCAACTCAGCACAAGTAAGAACGCTCTTATCTTCAATTTAATTCTCGTATATGAACTATTTATGCAGGTAACCACCATTAGTGACCACATGGTGAGTACTTTTTAGATAGATAATGAGAAAAAGCTGAAGAAGATTATACTTCGAGATATATGTGAATGGGGAATAAGTAATGCTTCTATCGTCGTGCCGTTATACTTCTTGAATAAGTACTTGATATAATAACGGAAAGTTACTTTTAATGAAGAAAGTACAACCATTCGGCGAGTATACAGTGACACAAAAGTCCCAGAATGGCTCTGTATTTTCTGGAGTCAGGTATTTTTGGAAAAGGTCAATTTCAGGTCATCAGTAACTTTCAGCAAGTAATTCAACGGTGACTTTGAATTTGACCTAGATCTTCACCTCCAAGGTTAATTTACAGTCAACTTCACTTTTTTAAGATGCCTGCAGTCTAAAGAACTGAGAATTTTACGTTCAAACGCAATTAAGTCAGGATGACTACTAAAGGTTAATTGAAGATCAAATCTGTACTGCTAGGAAAACCTCCCATAACAGGATTAGTGATAAAAATAACTATCAAGGTCAGGTCTGTAGTAAATTTTGACGAGTTATCTTGGCTTTGACCTTGAGCAAGATCATTTCATCTTCAATTGTTTTTTTCAAATAGAAACTCCCGGAAACAGTATTGGTTAAGAATCATTTGTAACGAGCACCGTAGTTCCCTCGTTAAAACTTACTCAAAGATCTGACCTTGCCAGGTATTTTCGTCACTTTTTGATTTCCTAGCAGTACACTTTTGGCCTTTATTTGACGTCGAATGGTTACTTTGAACGTGAATCCTAAGACACATTTGAACAAAAAAATTCCGGTCTCTGGATTTTCAGTCATCAAATAGGCGTTTCTATTTGGAAAAATAGAGTTGACCTTGAAATTACTTTGACATGGAGGTTGCTAAATACCAGTTATTTTCGTCACTATCTATGTGAGATTTCTAGAGTTTTTCCTAGTATCACATATATGACCTTTATTTAACGTATTTTGCTCCAGCGTTGATCTTGGTGTTGAACTTTAATAGATATTCGAAATTAAAATTTCCCGCTCTTCCAACATTGATAAGGGTTTCCATTAAAAAAATTAAGTCGAATTTGGGTAAGTTTTAGCAAGGGAACTGCATGCTCGTTACAAATGATTTTCAATCGATACTATTCCTGCGGGTTTCTATGTGAAGAAAGTTACCTTGAAATGACTTTTAAGGTGAGGTTCAATGTCAAATCCAAGATCACTCATCAAAATTTACCAAAGACTGACCTTGGTAGTTATTTTCATCATTAATCCTATAAGATTCATAGTGGTTTTTCTAGCAACACACATTTGACCTTCAGTGGTCACCATGACCTTGGTCTTCAATTCGTATTTGAAGGTAAAATTTTCCGCTCTTTCGATTGCATGCATTAAAAATAGGGATTTTAATTATTTCCTTGATAGTTATGTTCATCACTCACCCAGTGAGATTTATAGAGGTTTCCTTAGCAGCACACATTTGATCTTCATTTGACCTTTGTCATCCTGACCCTGGACTTTAATTGTATTTGAACGCAAAATTTTCTGTTCTTTAGATTGCCGGCATCAAAAATAGGAGTGCTCATGAAATCCTCATAAAGGCCATATTTTATTATATGTGAACAGAATAAGTACGTGGCATTTATAATTAACTAGTGTAATAATATTAAAGATTCAAACAAAAAACTTCATTGCTCTGTTAACCGAAAAAGAAAAACAATCTGAGGGACCCTGAGACATATTCCAGTCCATTCCACACAAAACAATGTATCTGTTGGCGAAAACGAACATGAGACCGAAAACTCATATTACCGTATGGACGCTAGATGAGACTATGAAGGATGTCTATAGACCATCTATATATAGATCGTGGGTTGATACTGCCTATAGACAAATTGCGCAACGGGGTCTGCTAGTGTGTACTAAGCTTAAGGATTAAGACTGTCCATTAAACAAATCAGGTAAATGGTGCAAACACTGACAATCGAGCACTTCTATTATACCAGCAGGTGATACAAACATCCAATAGGTATATTCAATTATTTTTGTGAAATTCAAAATAGATGTTACAGTTATCCTTCAGACTTTCGTTGTCGAACTTGGATTTGCGGTATACTTGTGGTTTTCTCAGATTTCGTATCGGTGTTGATCGCATGTAAAAATGTTGGAAATCTTTGGAAAAAAACTATATCTGTTAGATCGTAAGTATTTTGATAATGTATGTTTCTACGAAACAAGTACAGGATGACAGGGCTATACATATTCACGTGTAGTGCAGAAGATCTGTGATTTAAACGAATCCAATCTAGCAACATAAATAGACACATACTTGGGAAGAGATGCGGGACGTGTGGTATTGACTTTGAGCATCGATCGACGCATTTTCTGGACAGGACACAGGTGCACCGCTAAACAAATCTCATAAATGTCTATTTCCAATTTAGGCGTTCATCTAACATAGTGCTTCGCTGCAACACCAACCCCGAACAAATCAGTCAAGATCTACACACTTTTCAAGTTACTATTGAGCAACAAACAGAACATAAATCACTGTTTAAGTGCAATCTGTATAGCTAATATATTATTCAGACTTAGATTTGTCACGAGTCACAATGCTCGTATATTCGTATAAATCGTAAGAATTGTGCTGTAGATATAAGTGATGTCAAACAGAGACAGCGTTTGGAATACCAAAGGATACCAAAAAATGCTCAGTTCCTATAGTTATTATGCCCCTGTCGCCAAGATGTGTCAGAAAGGAACATAATAGCGTTAGATTACAAAAGCAAGTGTCAGACGTCCCACGCCCCCTCCCCTAAATCCGCCACTGCTACCGTTGAATTCCTTGCTGAAAGTTTCTGAAGACCTGACCTTTGTCTTTTCCAAAAATACAGAGCTGTTCCGGGACTTTTGTGTCACGCTGTATCTCACTCGTTTTGGTTAGTATTTTCCAAGATGCCCGTTTCGCCTGTCTCCAAGACTGGACCTAATACCCATACCTTACTAATGAGCATGAAATAACGCTGTCTCCGGTTGGTCATGGTTACAGGAGATGGAAAACAAACATGTCCATTTCAGCCAAGATAAGTAATGTACTGTTATTTTGCGTAGGGAGCGTTGGCTTTGACGTACTACAAGAATTATAGCTTCAAAGATATTAAATTACTTGATGATAAAATATTTGAAGGTAATCTATTTGGTCTATGTTGAAAATATGAAAGGAGAATGGGCAAACATAGATGTTTGTTAGTATCCAAGCCAAAAGCAAAGCATCATTTGAAAGTTGTTTTCATGTTAAACAAGAAATACCATTTCATGTTATCTATTTTTAGGTGATTGCTATCAGTATTTTATACCTAATCAGACGGTTATTTTTAGTTTTCTTTCGAACTTGAATGTTTCCTTTCAGGATGTGCAAGTGAATTTCAAGATATCATTGGATTTTTCTAGGAGCACCTCTGATCTTTCTTGAGTTGGATGTCATTTTGTCAAGGGCACAAAATCCACATTTTATGTCTCTTGTACTTTTTGTACACTGCGCTTATTTGTCAAAAAAGAAACATCCCCGGAACGGCATGTTCTAATTTAGTTTTCCATTAAAAAACTGAACTTTTTTTATTTTCTGTCAACAAGTAACATAGCTACGTAAAAAGTTGAAGATGCCCAGAAAGTTACTTTAATTTGTTTTATCAAATGAGAATCTCAAATACATGGCATACTTGTAAAACTTCCAAAACACCCGAGCAATACAACAATGTATAGCGTAGAAAGACTGATTCAAATCTACGACAAACCCTCGTTAAAATAATTGTAGAGTAATTTAAAATATATTTGGTCAAAATTAATATCTGAAATATTTTGGGTCACATTGTATTCTGAAAGCGTGACGTTTTTCGACCTAAGGTAGGTGGACTATGGAAGACCATGCATATTAGTAAATCTAAGAATGTATTTGTGGTAACAGTTTCAAAACAATTTTAATTAGTTTTATATCGAGATCAAATCAGTTGTCAATAACCTTTATAATTTTCTCTGAAATACAGTTTAACCGACCAAAATGGCTTTCTCATGTAAATCCAAAATTTTCCAGATGTCATTACCAATCTTCAATTGAAAAACAAAGAAAGTAACAGTGTATTTACTTGAAGACTTACGTTTTGCTGTGAGATTATAATTTTATCTTCTTGAGTTCGATGGATGTAAGTGAAGGAATTTGTCATTGCAGCACAATAACTACGAGTTTTTAGTAATAATTGGGCTTACATGATGCATGGCCTTCCATGGCCCACCCACCTTATATGCATTTAAGGTTTTTTAAATCAAATAATCACTTCCCAGAATAATTTCAATGACTTCGGAGACAGTCTGCACATTGGAACGTGGTGGGACTGAAACCCATTTGACCCAAAAATTGCCTGGAAAAATCCTGATTGTCTCTGAATACTCTCTTGCAATATACTTTGACAAAATGCTATATTTATGTCCAATATTGGACTAAAACACCTAAAAATCTATACTTTCTTCAGCATTCATCTTGAAAGGACAAACGAATTTTTTGATTTAAAAAGGCCTATCTAATGGTATATCACTTATCGCTATTGGTCTGAGTACCACAATGCCCGTGCTCTTTTGGAAACAGTTTAAGAATAATTTGATATTCCAATTTTTACAGGCCCAGAGTATTCTGAATTAGACTGCTAAGGCAAATGATATAGTCAATTTGGAACGCATCGAAACGTTTGGAGACAGTTTCCTCAAAATAATCACCTCAGTTTACATTTCAAATCAATTTTCCTCATTGGAATGAGGGGCAAGCAACAGCCCTCAAGGGTCGTATAGTCAGCAATAAGAACCTATTCTATCTGGCCAGAAAGAAGAACCTGGTTTGGAGCATACGATGTCACAGCTTGGATAATGTCAAACATGATTGGTTAGTACATCTTCAAATTTCATATTTTCTAAACAAACAGAATTTCGAACAGAAATTATTTGTTGTTTCCGTCTGAACAGGTGCGGGGTCTGTC